AATCGATTTTCTATGCATATCCTTGTATTCAGGGACCCATGTCTAACACCTGGTAATCGGTATCCCTCGAAACATCTTGGTATTCATTCAAAATATAACCAACCCCTGTAAATGTCTATTAATTTATACTCAGCGGGAGTGTGAAATCGATTTATATCTCGATTCATCTTGCAGTTTTAATCGATTTGCAATCCTACAAAAAATATTACAATTTAATGTAATCTCTATTTTTAATTTTATATTAATCGATATTTTAAAAATATTTATTATAAATATATTATTATATTAAATATCTTGTTTAATTCCATTATAAAATTTTAATATTTTATGTGATATTTTGTAAATAAAAATTTAACTGACACAAAGATTAAAATGATTAACATTCATAGATTAGTTTTCATTTTGATATTTTTATTATATATTTATAAGTACTGTTTATTATTATTAATTTACGAAATTCTACAATGTACATAAAATTTCCACCATTTTCAGCGTGAAATATACAATATTTACCTTGGAATATCCGGTTTTATGAGTGTAATCAAGCGAGCTGTCGAAATCATGCGCTAATTTAACCATCAGCCTTGTCCAATGCGAAATTCTGAACCACCTGTCTAATATCCACTTCTACATCCGTTTCCGGTTTATAAGGGATGGCATCCCCTGCGGTGTCCTCGTGGCTGTACCCTCTAGGAGGGCACGATCCCCTGAACGTTTCATGCTTGGGTACACCACCTTTACCCCCTACTTCTTTCTGACCACAATATCGATTCAATATTGCAAAATGTTCCAAAATACGACGAATTTTTAGAATCGTGCAATATTTATCTAGAATTAAAAATTCCTCTAAGAAATATTTATTTTGAAGTGTGATGCTATTTAAATTAAATTAAATATCTAGAATTAATTATAAAATAGATGCATAAAAGTAATTGAATATTATTATAATATTTTATAATATTTAATATTTATTTATATGGAAATGCATACGATATACAAAATGGTGAACAAATGTTAATTCGTAACAATATATAATTTTCTTAAATAAAATAAACGCATTAGATTAAAAATTATTAATGTTACGAGCAGTTTGAATGATCAAGATAGGTTTCATTGAAAGATCAAGATAGAATCTATTGACTAAGGGAGATTAAGTTATCATTCCATCAATCTGAATATTCCATATGGAACATTTAATTTTCAAATTGTGCATGTATGAAATCTCAGTGATCACTGATGATTATATATTGAAATCTAATAAGAATTGAATATCCAAATTAATTCTATTGTGATCTAACAAGATTATTCCTTTGTGAATTTGCAAATCTGATATTATATAAATATTTTTAACATCTGTGAAATCATGTATATAACATAAACAGAAAATAACTGTTTTTCAAATTGAAAAAATAGACACAAAAATATTTATTATTTGATATACATATTTCATTTAAAAATTTAAAATAGTTCATTGTTCTGCCCCCTATTGATGATAATATGCATTGATTCTTAAATTACCTTACAAAGTTAAAACAGAACAATTTCTTTATATCTTAACAATTTTAATATTCAATCTAACTAATGTTATTAGAAGTTTTAATTTCTTTATTTTATTAATTAAAAGATAAATAAAAAATAAGTCATATCACATACATAAAAATAAAAGAATATTATTACCAATGATAATATTAATCATAAACAATAATACTATTTTAAAAAGAAATTAATAATTTAATTCTTAAAAGTAAAAAAATTAAAAAGTTATTAATTAATAATGCATTAATAATATATTAACAATATAATATAATATCTAATAATATAATGAGAAATAGAATGACGTATTCAAATCGAAATTCAAATTTCCCGCGTAAAAAAAGAGCATTGGTACAATTTCACAACCTCGATCTGTTTCGATGTCTCGAGGTGACTTAAATGGCCTTCAGGTCGAGCCTTAAGGCTAGTCAGTATTTTCGCTGAGCTGGGTTGTTGTTTACATCCCGTAGCCGCTCTTCGTACGGCCATCCCGTGCGCGAGGGGAGCGGCAAAAATTCTTGTGTAAAATTTATCGTCACTAAGTAACTGTTACTATTGCCTATTCTTTCTCCTATTATCATTCGATTATTGAATCCACACGGAATAAATAGCAAACCAAGTAAACACGATGAAGGTAACGGTAACCACACTCAGCGACGACATTTTCGTGCTGGACGTCATCGAGGATATGGAGCTGGAGAGTTTCAAGGCTCTGTGTGAGATTGAAAGCAATGTTCCAGTCCACGAGATGGTGATCGCTTTCAATGGTCTACCATTGATGAACGACAAGAAATCGCTGAAAGATCACGGGATCCGAGACGGTGACGTGGTGATTTTGCAACACATGCATCAGAGCGGGGCCGAGTTGAACCTTCACCCCTTTAACGGAGGTCAGCTTCAATACAGCACCATTATTTAAAGTGGCAATCGAGGCGGGTCGTGAGGTTAGCTTTTCGGCTTCGATTTACGTTTCTTTTCTGTATTGTCACGTCTCTCGATCAGATGTTACTAGATTTATAACGCACGATCCCAGTGGACTAAGCTTAACAGATTCGATCGAGCATGTATCCCTTTGGTTTCATTACATTTGTCAATAAATTCGCTTTATAATATATTAGAATAATGTATTAGAATACGTTTTGTCATCGTGTGAGAATTTTTCACTTCATTCCTTTTTGTCGATTCGCACACTTGTTCATTTTAGCACAAGTTTTGTATTTTTGTTGAGTTTGATTTGAAGATAGTTTGTCGCTATGCGCTTAATCAGATCAGTTATTTAAAAGCGCACTCTTACTATAGTAAAAAAGAGAATGTACTAAATTTGAAGATACATTACTCTAGCTATTCCCATGTTGGACTTCAGTTCCATCACAGTGCCAGGAGCATCCAACAGTCGACAGCCATCAGCTTCCAGCAGTACTATAGCCAGAATGCAAAACCCTAGAAAAGAGGATGACCCAGAAATAATTCGAGACATGTTCTTAGCTAATCCGGATCAATTAGCATTGCTTAGCCAGAATAATCCTAAACTGGCTAGTGCCTTACTATCTGGTAACCTTGGTGAGATTTGCAATAATATATAAAAATATTTTGAAAACTTAAGAGTTTGTTTCAATGACAACTTTTGATTTGTAGAAAAATTTACCACTGTACTTAGAGAGCAAATAAAATTGAGAGAAGAACGTGAGGCACAGAGGTTAAGAATGATGAATGCAGATCCATTTGATACAGAAGCTCAAAGGTTTATTGCAGAGGATATCAGGCAAAAAAATATTGAAGCAAATATGGAAGCTGCAATGGAATATAATCCAGAAACATTTGGATCAGTTGTTATGTTATATATTAATTGTAAAGTCAATGGATTCCCAGTTAAAGCATTTATTGATACAGGTAAATATTTGATAATATTATTTACATTTATAAATAATAAAAATAAAATTAAATACATGCATAAATATATAATAATAACTAAAATCATTATTGGACTGGAGACAAGATTATTTTTAAGTATCTTTGTTTGGTTTCTGTTTAGTCACTATATCTATTTTTAAATTCTTGCATTTTAAAAGTCATTCTTTTCAATATGGTTCTTCATAGTGGGAGTAGTTTAAATTTAGACATCTTAAGATTCTGTGTTCATATTAGTTATATTTTTATATCTTTAAATTTCATGAATATTATTAGGAAAATATTTTTACATCATATACTAATATATTATATATTATATAAAATTATTAATATGTTATATGTTATATAAAAATCAGGTGCACAATCAACTATAATGTCCGATGCATGTGCCGAAAGATGCCATATAATGCGATTAGTTGATTCAAGGTGGGCTGGAATAGCTCATGGTGTTGGAACTCAACGGATTATTGGACGTATTCATATGGTACAAATTCAAATTGGAAATGACCATTTAACGACATCGTTTACTGTGCTTGCGGAACAAAGCATGGACATGTTACTTGGTCTAGATATGTTAAAAAGACATCAATGTTGTATAGATTTAAAAAAAAATGTGTTAAAAATTGGTACTACTGGTGCAGAGACTCCATTTTTAGCAGAAGGTGAACTTAAACATTGCTATACACAATATCTTTTTTGTCTATTATACAATGTAAATACTTCATTAGGGGAATTGCCAGAATGGCTCAGGTTAAGCGGTTATAGCGATGCGAGTAATTACGATATGGAAGATGATAAAAACAAAAAAGAATCTCAAAGGGCATTAGAGCATGGTTCTAGAGATGCAAAAAAACAACGTCGGCAACCTGGTAAGTATGTATCTATCCAGGCTTCCTTTTTTTCCTTAAATATTCCTTTTAATTTATTATAATTTTCCTTTAATCCTATTAACAGTATATATTTATATACTATTTAAATCTTTTATAAATATTTTATAATAAAATACAATATTTCAATAATAATTTTTTTCCCTAGATTAGCTGAAACACATATCCTTTTATTTACCTGGACTAACGATTTCAAACGAATACTTTGCATTTTGGGATGATAATTTTATTTTTTGTTTTGCTAGAATAGAAAAAAAATCTTTTTTTAATATATATTTTTATATATATTTTAGATGGCCTAGAAAGCAATAATTCAAGTGGAACATCAAGTAGATCAGGTCCTATAGAAACCACAGTTTTTTCCCATGATCCATTCACAGAAGAGACAGTAAAAGAGATCGAATCTCTAGGATTTAACAGAATAGAAGTTATTGCGGAATTACGTAGATTTAATGGAGACAAAACTCAAGCCACGGACGCATTGTTCACAAAATCCTTAAGACTTTAAAGCAATAGAGGAGGAAAAAGTATTGTGAAGGTTTCCATGTTTGTGCAGTAAAGTTTAGGGAAAGAAGATTTATACTTGATTTTTAGGTAATGACTTTTTACATCAATTATTGTAAATTTTGATGTATTGGAAACCACACAATCAAAACTCATCGCTCAGGCAAGCACTCGTTTCTCGACATTTAGTATGAAATCGTGTTTGTATTTTATTTCATGAAGCAATTATATAGACGCAATATTTCATTTTAGTGACAAATGACTACTTATTAGCTATATCTTTTTTTTTTTAATTAGATTACAGAAATTTGTAATATGATTTGAATCTATGAAGTTAAAATACTTTGATAATCTAATCTATCATTAGCGCAATATGTAAATTTAGGAATCAATACAAAATGAATTAAAACAAAATTAGGTTAATAGAATTAATAATAAGCTTATTGTTTTTTGTGAAAATTTTTCCACATTCATAGATATTCTATGAGAATTTTTTACTAGATTAGAAAAACAAAACAAAAATAGGCACTTAAGAAAATAATATTTTATTGAAGAAATATATCACACGATTTCACGAATATTTCGAGCTTCGCGACCAAAAGCTAGCTTGCAAACTTTCAAGAATATTAAGTTCCTCCATTGTAATTTTATAATTTACTAAAAAAGGATTTTTTGTAACGTAAGTTAATCATGTCGACATATCGACGAATTTATAAAGATTTTCTAATTCTTTTTTCTTTTTTTTAAAGGGGCAAACATTATGGACAAAAAAATAGAACTTATAAATTTATAAGAATTTTTATTGTTTCGTTTTTATAAATATTCTGATCAAAACTATAAAAAGAATGTGAATTTTGTATCGTTACTATCTATTTAGGGTATATGGTATTTTTCTGTATTTTCTTTATATTATATCGATAAAAAAATG